CAAACCTCCAGTTGGTGGTTTAGCCTGAATTCTCATCAGGATGGAGGACAAAGATAAAGGTCCTGTGCAAAGCGTACCTTTCTGTTATGCTTTTAAGAACTGCTGAGGAGATAGAAGCTTTTTATTTTTCTTTAAGTAAAGAAGGAGCAAATATAGTAAAGCTTAGCAAAATATAAACTGTGGAAGTAACAAAGTTGTGAGGAGATAAACAGAATATTCCCCGAATGGGAAGTCTACTTGTGTTAACTTTTACTTTTCTTCTACTTAGTATCTTTTTAAATCTATGACGTATTGTGCATCTACAAAAGTCATTGATAGTAACTTACTGGAGGTATTTATGATTTATTGTTTAGATTATTTGACTGGTGGGGGCGAATTTATAATAACATGTTTAGTTTGAGCAATAACTTTTTTTCTGTCTGTTATTGAAGGTGTTGTCCAATATTGACTCTATTATACGAAGTCCAAGAGCTCCTCCATTAATATATAAGCGCAGTAAAGGGCCAGTGCAAAATTATATTAAGGAGAATGGACAGGAATGTGGATTTGAACACCTCCCACTCACTATAGAAATGTGGGCAGATCAGCTAGTGGCCCTAAAGGTAATGCACTCTCATGCTTGGCTTTGTATTCCTCCTTTAGTCTATTGAAAATCTCACAGTGCTTCTTTATCCATTGCAGAGTGTTCTTGTGTGTTAGTTTTGTTGTCTGACCTAATGTTAAATGGACAGAATATTTAAGCAGTTACTACAATAAGCCCTGTATCCTTTGTTTTAAAAGGATTTGCACAGGTCATTGAGAAAACTGTCCCTGGAATTGGTGCCTTGGCACATCACGGATCCACAAGATAACAGAGAATCCATACGAGTTCAAGACCTTCAGCTCATAGTAGATACAGTGTTAGACGAAATAGAAAACAAGGAAAAGGTAATTCTTCACATGCTGTTGACTTCTGCATTTCAAAGCCTTTTGGGGTTTAAGAAATAGCTGTGTGAAGAGATCCAATACTCCAAGACTACTTTCACATAATGGATAAATTCACCCTGGGGAAGACTGCTTTAATGAAGGTCTTTTGACCATGAATTTGCATTGCCCTGTAGTGCTAGATATTATCCTGTTCCATCTTTTTCTCAGTCAGCATTCAGAATACATAAACAGACTTAATAAACAACAGAAAACAAAGCTTCCAAAAGAATATTTTTTCATAAGAGTATTTTTGGTTTGCTGGATATATCTCTTGAGATTTAAGGATATTTGAAATGCTTTGATTTACTAATGGAAGTTACACCTGTTTTTCTTTGTAGACTAGTTTTAAAAATATCTCATGGTTTAAAAGAATCCTTGCTTTGCTAAGCAACAATTTAGAAAAGTTACCCTTTCTGTTTTCTGCAGAACAGCCAGACACCATCCTTATCAACACTGTTTGCCATGGTCTCTCACTTCCAGAAGTTGTTTGATGTGAATTCTCTGAACGGCATTTACCCACGAATGAATGAGGTGTACACAAAACTTGGGGAACTGACCAATGCAATGAGAAATCTTCATGAGCTTCTGGAACTAGGTACAGGCTTATCACCTAGCACTTCTTCAGGCTATTTCCAAAGGGAAAGCTTTGTTTTATGAGCACTGACTTACTAATCATATTTCACACTCTATTTGAAACGCAAGGTTTTTTTGTTTGTTTTAACTTGTTTTAGAATAACAGATAAATAATCTTTGCTCTAGATTTCTCCTTAGTAACTCATTCAAAGGTATGTCCAGTCCTGAAGAACTTCCCTCTTACAATCCTAAAGGCCTACTTATTTTTTAACTGTTCAGTGTCAAGAACTAAGTGCCACCAGTAGTCAGAGGCCTGTGTAGTTTCATTCTCTTCTGGATTTGCACTTCTGAAGAACAGCAGCTGCTAATCTTCCCTGAGCTCATGGGTTTAGAGGCTTGGCTGTGCTGCAGGGTACAGCCAGAGGGAAAGGCTCCTGAACTACTGAGGCCTTTGAAGCCTCATTCAAAAGGGAAGCAGACTTCCTGCCTGCCACCAACAACAGGAGGTGAAGAAGCTTCCCATCTCCCTAGTAATTACAAAGCAATGGAGTTCAGTCACCTTCTCCACAAATAGTTCCTCTGAAACTGAGTGAGGAAAGGACAAAGAACCTGATACCTTTTTACCTTTCATCACAGTAGCCAAAGCAGGTTAAAACAAGCAAACAGAACAAGTTCTTGCTGCTAACAAAATATCAGGGAACAGGTTCCCTCTATGAGGTACTTCTGTTGTGCTGCAGGAAGCCAATGAATACCCTCTCTGCATACAATGGCAGTTGACTGCTTTCCAGTGACAGTATAGGACAGACTGTAGTACCATTTCAGTCAAGAAAATATCTAGCTCTGTCATGTTTTTAGCTACCGAAGGATTAATGAGAGATTCCTTCCTCCCAGTAGTATCAGTGTATTTCTCAACACAGGCATTTTGTTTTCTGTGAATGATGAAACTTGTATGCCTAAATACATGAAAGTTGAATAAATTCTGGGCACTTGTAAGAATTGAATTATGTCTTCTTTCCCTGTTGTTACTCTTACCAGAAGCATGAAGTCTTTGTTTTCCAGATAGTTCAGTTCCACCCACAGTGGTGGTGGATACTGTTGGGAAACTGTGTGACATAATTAATGAGAATGTGACTGAACAACTACAGAGGCTTCTGGGGACCCAAGACATCCACAGGTATTTAGATCTGTTCCACTGGCAGCAATTCTGCAAACAGGAATCTTAGGAATTGAAAGAGCTACATAAGATTGATACTGGAAGAGATTTTAATCACTTGCTACACAGGCAGCTAGCTGTGACAGTAAAGGATTGACTACTAACCTACATGGAACAAATCTTGAACACTTTCAAAAGGGTATTGGTGGTAAATAAAAAAAAATTAAGGTTCCCTTAGCACTAGCTTGTTGATTTTCATGGATACAGTGATCAAAAAAGCCTCTTAAGCTTATGTTTCATAAGGAGACATAGCAAGTGCTGCATGTTGGTGGGGATATGAAGCTGCTTTAAGGTTGCAATATTGAAATGTATTAGTTGCTGAGAGAATGTACACCTCAGGCTTCCTAAAAATCTTTCGGGTGCTGGACAAATCTTATTATCAAGTGATGAGAACATAGAGGTGATAGCAAGCTGTAAGAGCTTGCATTCAGAATGTGCTGTACAAACATACAAAGATACTAACTGCAGCAGTAAATTTTAACAGGCAAAGTTAACAACACTTGACACCATCAACCTTTCTGTGCTCCTTGCAGCTTTAACTATAGACAAGCTGCATATAATATTCTTGCCTCCACCTCTGTAGCAGTTATACTGCCTGGGGTGGCTGATATATTTAGCATATATATATAGGCTGCTGCTCCAGTCCAAAAATTACATGACATGATACAAGTAGGAATAGAAGAATGTATACTGGGCAGAAACAGTGAAATCAGAGATAATCTTTTGACTTTTAACAGTTGTTGGCTGCAGGTTTCAGAATGTGAAGATGCATTTTTGGTGTAGGTGCATTTGTATGTAATAAGTAACAGTATTTTCAGAAAGCAGTGACACTGTATGGCAAAACAGACAAGAAAATGAACTTAATATGTTCTTACATTTTTGAGATAATGGTCTTACTTACAAATTTCAGTATCATCAATAAGCTAGAAGAACACGAATGCTTCTTTCCACCGTTTCAAGCTCTCATTCAAGATTTGCTCTCTCTTCTAGGTGAGTAGCATTTGCAAGTTGTAATTATCTTCACGACAAAGTTCCCTGCCAGGACTTTAAATAGCTAACACACTTTGTTTACTCCTGGTGTGCAAAAAAACATAAGGGAAGTGTGAGAAAAGGTGCTTCTCCTTGCCTTGCTCTCGTCTTTTAAGAAAGTGTCTGAAATAACTAGGTCTTCATTAAAAATAGGGTCAATTACATTCAACCATAAGACTTAGAAGCTAAAATAACTTTTTTCTTCCCCCAAAAGCATTAAAAGGTTTGAGGAATTTATTCTCTGCAGTAGTTTTTTGCTGACATTTCTAACATTTCTATTCTATGTATTTTAACATTTAATCTAGAATTTTGGTTGGACTTAGAGGCGTTCTGTATACATCTCATACAAATTTGCTTTTCATTCTGTTTCAGAGATCAATAACCTGGATGATATTTTACCTACTGTACGAAAGCTGAAGTTGGTAACTAGTTAAGAGTTAGTTTGGTCAATCCTGGGAAGACTTAACCTGTGAGGTGGCCTGTTGATTCACATGCCATTACAGCTACCTCTAATCTCTGTTATTTAATGAACAGTTTCAGACTTTTGGATATATAAATAAAAATTTGGCTTTGCCACTGCATTCTTTTAGTTTCTCTGCATTCTTACACTGAACATGAAACAAGAAAAATAACCACAATAACCTGTTCTGTCCTGGAGAGAGAACCAATACATACTGTGTTCATCTAGGAAACTGAAGCCAGCACAAAAGCAAAAACCACAAAACCACTTACCTTTCTGAACATTGCTCATCAGCAGGTATGAGATGACATTGCTCAAACTGCCTTTAGATGTAATACTTCCATTATTACTTTGGTTGTCTTGAGAGCCTATTTTAAAATGATGTTTACATCTCAGCTAGGTTTGGGATTTGAGTTAGGGACTGTCCTCTGTTCAAGTACTACATGATTTCACGCTTCCTGCTTTGTGCTGTTGCGCAGTGAATTTTTTTTTTTTTTCTGGTTATGGATTTAAATACACTGGGTTAATGTAATCTAGGCTGAAAATATTCTAAGCCTACTTCAGAAAGTGGTTTATTGCTTTTTGCCTAGAAGGGATTTGAATTTACCACGCTCATATTCTACTGTCACTTTTAGAAGGGCATAGATAAAGTTCCTTAAGCAAGACATGTCAAAGTTTATTGTAAACAAACAGGTACACCAAGCTTCCAAAAATATTTTGGTATATTTCATTCCAATAAAGCTTAGTCCAAAACTCTGCTGTTCCTCAGGCAGAATGATTTACTATCAAGGCTTATGATATGCTGAAATGTTGTAACAAAGAACAAAACATGTTAAGGCTTTACAAACTATAACCTTTATGACATCCTGGCAAACTGATCTCCCTGCTTTTGGAATCTCATCATATGCAGACCTGCAGCCACAATCTGCTAAGATGCTTTTCAGAAGCAGAATATCAATTTCTTGGTTTCTCAAGAACTGCTATTAGTCTTACAGTTTATTTTAATCGGTTCTGTAGCCTTACAGATGAAAGATGCTGTTTAAAAATTGATTCTTCTAGATGTGTAATGCTTTCATATATCGTTAAAATAACATGAATAGGCTCTTAGGGAAATGAAACGGAGAACAAAGTAATCACACACAGCTGGCAACCTAAAAATATCTCCAGGTCCAACACTTCCTTAGGAGCATATTCATATGTAAGGATTCTTGGGGAGGAGATACACCAGAAACATCAAGAACAAATGATTTGTTTTTAGAGAGAAATTATTCCCACAGTTTTTTGTTTTGTTTCCTTTCTTTTTGTTTTACTTCATTGAGAACTCATGTCAGTAGGATCATTCAGGGCACATGTCCTGAGCAGCAGATGGCTTCAAGTTTGCAGTGAATGTTTCAAAACACTTCAATTACAAAAGAGATATGTACAGTCAGTACAAAGCTTAAAAATTAATAACTTATGTACATGAGAAGAAATCAGTTTTTCTTGCGTCTACTTCTTGTCAGCTCATACCTGCAAGACAGATACAGAAAGCAGTTTAAGACTTTCTTTAAAGAGTTTAAACTGTCATAACAGAGAACTTGGGCTGCTTTATTGCTTGTGCTTTGTAGGCAGGAGGATGGCAAAGGAGGCTTTGGAGATGGCCTCAAACTTCAGCCTTTTACCAGGAACTCTGGATGAGTCATTTTTCTCCTACTGCCATAATTGCTGTATACTTCCATGAGACACACAGAAGCTGGGCATGGGGAACTTGGTTTCCCTACACTGCTGACCACACTACTGGGAAGCTGCTGGGCTACACTCACTGCATTCCTCCACCTCCTTCACTGAAGGATGAAGGAAGAATGACTGCCATTAACCTGAGACTGAGAAGGAGAGAAAAGAAATGGTTCTTAATCTTTGCCTCAGACCAGTACTTAAGATTGACGTCTGAACCATAATGAACATACAAGCAGAACTGTGAGTGGCTTATTAAAATAGCTTCTAAAAATGCTTTGTAATTAGCTTTTTATCATACATATATATTGCTAATCAGAGTATTAATTTAGCTAAGATCTTTATCCAAGTCATTTGTTGCAAATTTACTTTAATAAACATAATTCTTTATTTATGTAACCCAGTGGTTTTTATGCAATTCAAAATATGCTGAAGACAGAATAATTGACGAGGAAGCCTCTTATTAAAACCCTTTCACAGGATAGATATCATGCTATTAACCAGATTAACATAAAGCTTAGATAAAACTACCAGATTAATTCCAGTTAGTCCTGCACTTGCAGGTAAAACATTATTGTTGCTTACCAAAAAACACAGCCTTTCTGCCATCACCCCAACAACACTCATACAGTCTCTCAGCAAAGCCATTATTAGCAGGTTAAAAGATGAAACAAACTTACCACTGTGTAAAACCCTTGATTAAATCCTCCTGTGACAAATCAATCCGCACCTTTAAAAAACAAAGTTTTATTGGTATATATATAAAAATATATATATAAATGATGTACATGTTGATGAGCTAAGTAGCACTCTTCCACATCAACTTTCAAGCTCTAAGGCTACCGGTGAGGCTCAAGGGAGATGAGATTGATGCATTCCCAGGATAAAGGCATTTAGCATCAACACTAAGACTTAGTTTCTTAACAGCACTGCTTGGAGATTTATCTGTCACTGAACACAGGATTCATGTTTGCTAGTCACAGCAAAATTCATGTACTGTTGGCAAATTCTGTGTTTTAATGACATTTTTCTCAGTTCTACATTTGCACTATTGGACCTATCCCCAGACAGACAGCTGGACATCCCAAGAAACACATTTCAATTTCAGGATGGCTCCTTTAAAATGAAGCAGCATTGCCTATCAATTACATGAGCCCACGTGAGATTCCAAGGTGATAAAGCACAATTTCAGACTACAGTTGTTTCCATGTTGCTAGTTCTATTATTCAGATTTAGCTACCAGAGTTGCAGTTCAGGATTACAGGATTCTCTCAAACTCTGCAATTCTATTTAAACCAGTAGCATAACTTCATTAAACTTACTTTTCCCAGCTCCTTTTTTTCCTGTGAAATGAATGGCCTGCTGTTTTTCACTGCAACATCCAGTGTCCTTCTCTTGACTTCTTCCAAAGATTCAAAAAATTCAAACCTGAAAGTAAAGTTTTGAAAGGAGTGACTTAAGTCAAATACTGAAGTCCTGTAAGTCTCAGTGGTCAAAATACAGCAGTTTTAACAGAGAAGGAACACAGCTTCATGGAACAACCTTTACAACCAATGAATCGCAGCCAAAGTTTGAAAAGGTTTTACTGTCCATTATAAACTTTCAGAACACTGGTGCCAACCACAGCTTTAGCAGAGTTTGAGGGCTGACTACAAAACATGTGAACACAGCCAATTCCCCACGGAACATAAAAGGCAATAATCTAGGTTTTATTAACACTGTAAGAAATTTCTTCCAAGTCAGCTTCTTCCATGACAGCCTGCTGGTCAGACCATGCCAGGGGGATGAAGGAAAGCGTGCATCCATGATGAAATGCTGTTTAACAACCATTTTTACCCTTCATGGGAGATCAGCATGTTTTCCATTCAACTTTTATTACTCAGAGGAAATAGCCATGCCAATCCCCCAAGTTTACAAAGTAGGCTTATACCACATTAAGAGAAGACAAAGAAATAAACCTGTAGCAATTAAATTCTTCATGGCTCTGACTCATGGCTCTGGCACACATCATCAAATGTCACGTCAATTCTGTCCATGTTAAATCATTCAGGTTCTGCCCACCTGAATAGTTCCTCCTCAAGTCAGAGTTGTAAAACAGGTAATGTGTTTTGGAGCTAAGTATTGCTCAACCTATTACACTTAATTGAAGATGTACAGGACATGCCAATACTGGGGATGAGGAGGAGGATCCTGCTCCCAACACCAGTGCTGGCACTAAGTGTGTACAGTTCACGAGAACAGGCTGAATTACCCAGGATCACATTCAAGTGCGTACCTTCATTTACATACTGCACTAGAACTGCCTCTCAGACAAACTCTACTTCTAATTAAGTGCTACTGCCATTAGTTTTATACAGAACACGTTCCTCTTCAGTGGCAAACCTGTAGAAGTGTCAGCTATCAGCACAGAGGTGGCAACACATTAAGTTACTCCCAGCAGCACTCAGTGATGGCATCCATCTGTCTCAAAATGCTTTGTATATGCCTGCCTTTGACTTTTGAAAAGACATCAGATGAAACATAAGCAAAGAAGTATGAACAGAGAAGTAGGCTATGGGAGGTACTCACATGGAAAGATTGCCTCTGCAGTGACATGGAGTTAAATATGTTGAAGGGAATGTCTGTGTGCAAAGAAGAAAGTGCAGTGTGCATCTGCTAGGGTCAGGAAAGGAGGAAGGAAGATGTGACAGTATTGTATGCAGAGCAAAGTCCATTTAAAGAACTTGCACACACAGATACAGTGCCATTTCTCTCCCAAGACCTGTGAATGTTCACAAACCAATCATTAAAGCGCAGCATGTGCACACCTTCTGTGAGCCCTTGCACTTCACAGAGATTGTAACATAATTCATGAATTATAATCAATGTTTTCTTACTTTTCATCATACTGGGGGTTCAGAGTTTTTTTCTTAACAGAAGTCTTCTTCCTACTTGTCCATCTTCTATCTGGAAGCAGATATATACGGACATATGGATCCACTCCACGATTGGAAGAGGGTATTAAGTTTCTGTTAAAAGAAAAACAGTGCTGACAAGCAAGGCAGCTTCTCCCACTGTATGCATTTTAATTCCCTGTCTTAAAATCAGACCCACCCTTCATGGATTCATGAGCTAAATGCCTTTATCACGGGAGCTGAAACATAAGCAAATTAAAATCTTATGGATGACAAGACAAATTCCACTACTGAACTCATGGGTTCTTAAACTGGCATTTACAACATCAGTCAGAGGTGTCAGTCCTTGTCACGACACTTAAATCTCCTTCAGACATCCCAGGACAAGTGTCAGTTCTCAATAGCATTCACTTTGGCCAGGCAGCTTACACTTCATGTGGTTTTGCTCCAGCTTTCCTGACACAAACTCAGAGAGCTCCTTCCCTCTTTCATGCATATAGAGGCAAGCAATTGCCAGCATTACCTGCAGCCATTCACCAGCACAACAAGGCTCTGCCGTATGGAAGCATAGCGCACTGTGAGCTGAATCTCTCCCAGAGGCATTTCTGTCCCGCTGTAAGACAGGTACACAGCAAAAGCTTTAAACACAGGTATCTAATAGATCATACACATAAACCTTACAGCATGAAACAACACACGAGCTCCACAAGTTGGTGATGCATTTTCAACTAGAACCAATTCTCAGTGCACTGCTCCTATTTATGACATCTTATGGCAGTTGGACCACAGAGCATGCACAGAAACAACACTCCTGTTGGTGCCAGCTCTGTCTGCCTTCTGCACAGAGCCTTGTCCTCAGACCCGAAGTATAAGTAGCCAGAGAACAGCACCCAATTGGCCTGCTGTAGATGGAGCAGCAAAGCACAGATCAGCATGTGTTTTGTATGCTGTCTGCATACTAATGGATGCTTACATATGCAAAATGGGTTCTTTTCTACATCTCATTCTGCATGTTTCCGAAGTGGTTTCAAATTCAAGACATTATTTTAAAATGGTTTACCAATGGTTTATAAATGAAGTCTTGCTCAGAGCTAAAGAATTTACCAGTCACAAAGTATTAGATCAAGCTGATTCTACAGCCTGGAATTCACGGGTATACAAGAGACACTTACAAAAAACAAACTTTCTCAAGAAGAGAACAATTCAACTGGAAGAACCACCTACTTATGAAGGTCCAGATTGCTGCTACTGAGTTCAAAGCAAGAGGAAGGCAGAGAACCCAGTGAAGTAACACTGGGTGCAAGCCTCAGTTCTTCTACAACTGGCAATGTGGGCACTACTGCTGCCCTGGTGTGCAATGCTGATGGCACACGATGCTCTAGATCTTTGTCACTCTCTGTCTCATCAAGACTGGCAACAGTTTCACTTGCTGCAGGCATTGCTGAACTGTTACTTGTGTCCAGGTCTTCACTGTTGTCTTTTTTTGGCTGAGATTCCCGCACAGCAGTGTCTTTGCTCACAGGAGGTACTTTTGAGACTTCTGGTTTTGGTGGGGAGACAAACTCCTGCTGGTTTCCACCTTTCTCCATGACATGCATGGGACCTTTCTTCAAGGCGCTGACACCAGTCTGGACTCTCTGTGCATCAGGTTCCTCAACATTCAAGGCCTAAAAATCACCAGGGAGAAAAAATGAGCACTGCTGCTCAAACGCTGGTGTTAAATTTCATTACAATGCGACTTAAAAAGCAGAAGACTGCATTTAGAGATGAAAGAAGGCTACGGAACTAGCTATTACATTGTTTTCCTTTGTCACACTGTGTATTTACTTGTGTAAACACTGTGAGAAAACAATCCTTAAGCACTAGAGCCTCTCACTGCTGTGCAGTTTTGATTTCCCAAATCAGATTTTCTCAGTTCCACTCTTTAACATCATGAGAAGGTTCTTGGCAATGCTGCTGCACTAAGCTTTGGGAAGCCTCAAGGCAGAGCTCTCATCTCCACCATCAATTGCAGCTAAGGATCTTGTCACACTTCACCTTTACTCACTTTTGAAGTAAAATTGCATTTCTTCTCTCCTGCATTTCATCTTTTGCTTGGCTAGATTTGGAAGCTTTTCTGCTGGGAAAGCCAAGTGAAAACAGCAAACAACTTACCCGCAGCACAAGTTTAATTTTAATGAAGCTGTCTGAACTGGAATGGTCCAACTGAAATCTCTGATCCAGAGTCATGTTTGGGTCCTTAAGTAAGTGGGAGAGACATACCACTGATGTTCCCAGACAACTATCCTGATCCTTGTCTTTTATCTAGAAAAGAAAGGTTTTGTTAGGTGACAAACTGGGAAGCACAATACAAGGAACAGCAAAACAAGAAGGCATTCCATACAGATCAAAATAAGCTTATTTACTTAGGAAATATCCCTTGTTTTGTACCAAGATACTATTAATTACTTGACCCTAGCACAAAGGTAGATAACAGCATCCCCTAACAGAACTGTCCACACAACAACACACACTCCTTCCACCTTTTAAGTAGGATGACCCCAGTAAATGCAGACAAAAAGAACCTGCACCAAAATCACATCCACTATGAAAGGCTTCCAAAGGAAGGGCTTTTCTCTCACCTCAACATGCAGCGATTGGGAATGAGCACTGTGGACAAAGAAGGTGAAAGCCTGGCCCCACTTGGGATCTTTGTTGAAATTGCAGGTCTGCAAGAAGAAGATTGTGGCATATATTTTTTAATTTGGTCTGTGAGCAACAAAGAATACTGTGGCATTGATCACTAGAGAGGGTTGCAGTGATATATTTATCTATTTTAATTGAGTGATGCTACATCCCAGCTATACACAGAGAATGAAATTCCCATGTCAGAAGTGTGCACAAGTGGAGTCTCTGGCAAAACCAGAACAAGCTCTAAGAGATGTGGAAATGCTGCAGAACAAGTCAGGTGAGCTGCAGGTGGCCCAAGTTGGTGTTGGCTGGACCAGCAGCTTGCCTCAGCTGCAGCAAAGCACTGCTTCATTCCTCCCACCTCTCTACCCAGAGAGACAGAGCAATGCTTCCAGCCCACAGACACTCAGAGCCAGCTCACAAACCTGCAGCATGACAGCAAGGAAGTATCCTTGAAAAGGATAAGAAAGAAAGGTAGAGGGGCAGTTTGAAGGATGTAGAGCTTGTAGGAAGAGTGGGAGGCTACAGCTCCAGAGCCATCCACTTAAAAGATAAAGGAGCACACCCATGGGGCTCTGCTTAAGGCTGCTCAATACAACAGTTTCTTCTACCAGGTGACAAGTGCTGGCAGCAGGAGGAAAAGAGCGAGGGAAACTGGACGTCTGACCTAACTGGGAAGAGGCAGGAGGCATGGCAGAGAAAACTGAAAACCAAAAGAGGTGAAAAAGCAAGCAGAACCCAATTTCTGGGTGAACAAAAACAAAGGAAAAAAGGTGGCAGTTCTAGGAGCTACTTGGAATTTGTCACCTGAAAAATATTTAAGGAAAGCAGAAGAGTCAAACTTACCTTGCTTTTTTGAGTCTTGCTTCCTACTGTGAGCAGGACAAAGGAGGAAGGTTCTCGTTCTGTCTTCTGCCATTTAATACAAGAAGAAAAAAAAGAACAATTTATAGATTACACAAAGCAGTATCAAATCACTACTCTTACTTGAAATACATGACTGGAAAGCTGGCAATAGTTTTCATATGTAGGACATCTGAAGAGCATGACATGCAGGAGAGACTCCAGCCATAACACAGCAATCTTACCCTCTGGCATCAAGACATTACATTTAAGCCAGAGTTTTATGGGTTTAGGTTTCAATAGGTGAGCAGCTAAATGTTTATTAGAAGCTGCGAGGAAACAGGCACAGAAGTATTGAACGCTTGTTGGCCAGTGGGGAGTTTTCATCATTCTGTGATGAAACAGGGCACTCAGAATTGGTTTCTTAGGCTCAGGACATGTTGCACAGCAGCTAGAAGAGAGCCTATAGAACCAGGCAAAAATTCCTTCCCAGAATTATCAATACTGAACCTCGAGTACTACGCTCCTTCATACTAATGCTACAGAGGCTTTGCCAAAACCAAGGAGATGGTTTTGCCACTAAAACAAAACAAAACAAAACAACAAAGAAAAGTGTATACAATAAAATTCAGAATTAAGGATTATCATATGCCATGTGTATCATGACATAGGTAACTCATGAAAATGTAAAGAACATATTTAGAAAGGGAGGGAAGCTTCATTCACTGCTCACAACTGTGGGGGTGTGCGGCTTGTTCAAGAAAACAGGGAGAAAGACATTCTTTCCTACATCTGCAGTTTTCACTACAGCAGCAAGATCCAGTATTTAGGGAGTTAAAAAGTAACTTAGAGGGGAGGCATGGATGACAAAATGACTTCCGAATCTCTGAGGATTCAGAGGTTAAAACACAGAGAGAAGGAATCTGGTGGTTTGCTCTCCCACCCTTCTACTCCTAGTGGGGCAAAATGAAACAGCTTGGGATGGGAAGAACCCTTGAAGCAGCATGAAGGGTAGCATGACTTGGTCTGATGTTGGAAGCTTTCATTCTCCAATGTATAAACTTAATACAATCCCACACACAATCAAATATTTCTGTGCTGCATTCCCCATTTGATCACCTCTTATTAGTGCAAGGCTTCTCAATCACTACCTTGAACCTGTGGTCACAGATTCTGACAGTGGAAAGATTGTTTCTTTATAACAGCTACTTTCAGTTGCTATGATACAATATAATCCAGAAGGTGGTTTAGAAAGCATGGAGGAAGAACATAAATTTTACCTTGAGGTACTTGTTATTTTTTATCTTCTTTGCTCCACATTCACCATTTGAATACTCGAAGTGGTTTTTCTGAATTTGTAAGAGTATTTAAAAACAATTAATTTGTGTGCTTTTTTTAAAAAAGGAGGGTTGGGAGTGAAGGCTGTCTGCATGTGGTTTGTACTTACTGGGAGGTTGAAAGCGCTGTCCAAGTAGACTATCAGAATTGCTGTAGACAGGCCCTTCTTATCCTGCCAAGGCCAGGAACATAGAAGAAAACAAAACACAAAGCAGGTATGATCATTCACCAAGGACAATGTACAGCACAAGATAAGCTCAAAGGAAAGTTTCTGTAAGCTAAGTAGCTCTTTGCCTTTCTCCTTAATCTTGGAATTCAGAGGAGCACAAGCCAATACCCTACAGCACGAGGGCTTTAAGCAGACCAGTAAGAAAAGGCCCAGGTCTTTGCTATTCATCACACTTAATGACCTTCAGTTTATCTAGTGCAGAACTGGTCAGATTCCCTAGGACAGCAAGTCATCTAAGCCTGTGCTCAACTCTATACATTGTCATCACTAATCTAGCATCAGTAGAATAAAACCTCGAGAAAAATGAAATGTTTTTCATCTCAGTGAACTCCAATACTTTTTGGTTAACTATGAAGAAAGCAGCGACCTTGGAAGATGCATCCAAGGAATTCTGCAGACTGAATATGACAGCATTTGTAACTATGGCCCTAGCAAGTACCAGTGCTGGTATTTGGCTGTGACTAGTACAGGTGCACAGTGCTGGGATCCTACATAAGTTTTAGATGAAGAGGAAAGGGAAAAATAATCAAGGGAGAGAACTGTGAGAGGTCACTCCGCAGTCAGCCAAACAAAGCTTTACTAACTTAAGTAAAAACAGCTGACAGATTTTAGTTGCTGCTGTATTGCCATGGGACCTGAAGCAAGTAAACACCTTCCTCCCCAGGAGAAACCAAAACAACCAAACCACCAACATGTCTACACTTTGTTAGACAAAATAAAGTCCCATGCATTTGCCTGAGGTTCCCAATTTCACATTCTTCTTTGTTGATCACTGGACAAACATCAAAGTATCTGGATCCTTTAAGCATACTCACCTCATATAGCTTTTCTTGGTCATTTACTAGTGAAAGCCATTCCAGCTTTAAGTGCAAGTGTCCACTTGTTGTCCTGCTTAAGGGAAACCACTAAGTGGAGACAATAAAAAGCAACTTGAAAACTGAGACAGGATAATTTCTATATATTTCAGTCTCTGGGACTTAAATACAATAAACAATATGAATTGTACTTCAAACTTCTTAAATTGAATTTTTGATATATACATCGCAGAATGTCCATCTACTTGGGAACATGAGCCAGAAACACTGAGAGCAAGATTTCCACAAACACACAGTGCACATACTGCACATTCTGCAGCAGCAGCAGTATGAAGCAGTATGAAGTAGGCACTCTGGAACTGTTTGCAGAACACTGAGCTGCACAATGAGCCACAATAAGACTTGATTATTTGTTCCCTCAGCAATCAGACTGCTTCACCAAACTGATCTGTAGCCTCAGAGGAATAAGTGATAGACACAGGGTACATGCTGTTAACACAAGATACTCCACTGCTGGTTCAGCATAAGCTCAGGGCTGTCTGAGGTTGCCAGACTGACTGTGAACAACAACTGTAATGGCTACTTCAAGTTTTCTGAGCAAAGAGAACTTCACAAAAAGAAAACACCGCAGTGCAAGTAAGCAGGGAAGCTTCAAGCACACAGAAACAATGCAGTAGCATACACAAAGCATGAATGAATACATGTAAGTATACAACACAACTACATTGAAAAACAAGCTGTGATCTTTACCTCATCAACTGTTTTGTCATTCTTTATATCCAGCAGGCTTATAAGCAAGCTGGAAGACAAAAAGCAAATGTTTCAGTGAACGTTCAGGCATACAGCGTACTGTCGATTAGTGGACAAATGGGGAAAAAAAAAATAAAAGAGAGAAACCACAACTAGTAAGTAAAAAGCCACAACCAAATCTGTCCCAAAGAGCAATTTCCACACTTTATCTGTTGGCGCACAGTGGAACACACACTTCTACAGTACCTTCTCCCTCTTGAAATGCTTCCAAAACTAAAATATAATTTAAACAGACCTTGAGTCCAGCAGCAATCATCACTGGCTTCCAAAGATTTTCTGCAAGAGTCTGAGCCCACCATCCACCCTGTTCATAGCTGGTTGCACTAGGAGCTAATAACCTGATGTCAATATTCAAACAGAGCAAGTAGACTCCTTCAACATTAAGCTTCCTATGTGAATTACTTGGGTGTTCTACTTCAGAGATTACCATAACTGTGCAAGGCCTGGATTGTTTTCTTTGTTTCTTGGGGGTTTTATTTATTTAAAATCAAATAAATGCAAACACAGCAGCAAGTCACAGAATCACAGAATCACAGAATTGTAGGGGTTGGAAGGGACCTCCAGAGATCATCGAGTCCAACCCCCCTGCCAAAGCAGGTTCCCTACACCAGGTAGCACAGGTAGGCATCCAGGCAGGTCTTGAACATCTCCAGAGAAGGAGACTCCACCACCTCCCTGGGCAGCCTGTTCCAGTGCTCCGTCACCTCACTGTAAAGAAGTTCTTGCGCACATTTGTGCGGAACTTCCTATGCTGCAGTTTCCAGCCGTTTCCCCTTGTCCTGTCTCCACTCACCACTGAAAACAGTCCGGCCTCGCCATTCTGCCCCCCACACATTAGATATTTATAGACCTGGATCAGGTCCCCTCTCAGTCTTCTTTTCTCAAGGCTGAACAGACGCAGTTCACTCAGCCTTTCCTCATAGGGGAGATGCTCCAGGCCCTTCACCATCTTCGTGGCCCTCTGCTGGACTCTTTCCAAGAGATCCCTGTCTTTTTTGTACTGGGGAGCCCAAAACTGGACACAGTACTCCAGATGAGGTCTTACCAGGGCAGAGTAGAGGGGGAGGATCACCTCCTTTGACCTGCTGGAGACGCTCTTTTTAATGCACCCCAGTAAGCCATTGGCCTTTTTGGCCACAAGGGCACACTGCTGGCTCATGGCCAACCTGTCATCCACCAGGACACCCAGGTCCCTTTCCACAGAGCTCCCCTCCAGCAGGTCATCCCCCAACCTGTACTGGTGCATGGAATTATTCCTCCCCAGATGCAAGACTCTACACTTGCTTTTGTTAAACCTCATCCGGTTTTTTTCTGCCCAGCTCTCCAGCCTATCCAGGTCTTGCTGAATGGCAACACAGCCTTCAGGCATGTCAGCCAATCCTCCCAAAGTCCAAAGAAGTAAGATCTGATGTACTCATTCGGAAGGAAATCATGTCCAACTCTGCCTTTCCCTAAGTGCTAATGTTATCCATAGAACATCACCGAAGCTGTTCCACTTGAGATAACCATGGCTTAAGAAGCAGTGCCCCTCTTCTGTCTGTCATCTGATATGATGAGGGCAGTTCCCTGGCTGCCAATCACTTCATATTTGCATTTTCTGTATGGAAAATGGATAGCAAATGTTGCTACAAGGATATTTCTCCATTAAAAAACTGCAAAAAAACTTAACCAGAACAAAGAGAAAACATTCCAATTAGACTGCAATTAACTAGGCGATGAAGAAGTAAAGGATTTAATCTTCAGAACTGTTTTCTGAAATCTGTTGAGCAGATCTGTCAGATTATTACATCCCTTCGAAGAGCAACCAGAAGAAAATCTCACTTTTACCTGCCCATGAAGTCATCTTTATCTGGATCTGCATCATACAAGTCCACTTCTAAGTCCTGACCAAGCACTTCATGAACAACAAACTGGAGAAGAAACAGGTACTGAGTAAAAATTAAAAGCACTCACATAGGTTCACAGTTGTGTAATGTGTGAAGCACAATTCCCTGCTGTTTTGTGGCTGATCATATTACATGATATGATAACAATATCTTAAAAGAAGTTTGCTTGGTTTTGAATTAAAAGTTAAACCCAGTTAATTTTGCTCACAAAATTAGAAAAAGCTACAAACATCCCATATACAAAGTAAACCAATTCTAGAGTAGAAGACACTTGCACAATCAGACTGCTGCACTGATTGATATTTAAGGCAATGCTTTGCACCTCCTCCAAACACCCACATATGTAAAATCAGATTAACCCTCAGTGCCATTTCATGTTTGCAATGTAAATTTGACTTGTTTAAGGGACAGGAATGCCTCATCAATGAAGCAACAAGGAATTCCACCTGCTCCACTGCAGTCAGGTAAGAGAAGGTCCTTCAAGTACGAGGATGTAAACAGCTGTGCATCCTAGACATGGAAAGATCAAAAGGTTCAGTACCTCAAATGTCTCATTCCAAATGGGATTAAGATCTCTGGAAATTGTCTTGCTTCGATACTGCACCGTGCCAAGCCGAAGAAGAGCGTATGGGTCAGACTTCCCCCTGATTGCACCAAGGAAATTATCTTTCTGAACAAGGTTTTCAGCTTCTAGCAGATGAACCCTTATTACTCCCTGCATAGGAAAAGACACAAAATCAGTCTTGAAAATGTGATATTTGGATAATTATAATGTGCTGCCTCCTAAAACTGTTATTTCAGGCAGCAAGGTTAGTCAGAATGACAGGTTTGCAAAGATATGCATTTTGAGGCAGTATGTAATAAAACAATCACTTTTCCTATCATTTACCATGGGGGAGAACTTGCACAGATACACAATCCCATCCAGATAGCTAGGTAGGAAATAGTCTTCAATTTATTTTAAAATCAGAAACATACAAATACACACAGGAACATACATCACAATCAAATTGATGGTGGAATCAAGATCAATTTCCACTGACTTAAGGAGGAACTAAGCAGCCAACGGTTGGTTCTTATTTTACTGCAGAGTGGCCATTCAAATTCAATTTAGTGATGCAATTTTGCAACAGGAAGCAGCCCTTAGTCATTCATTAATGTCTTCATTAATTAATATATCTTAGGTATTCAGAAGGAGAAGGTCAGAGATGTGAATGTATCAGATATTTCAGAGATTAGGGTTGGATTTACTGCTTTGGGATTTTTTTCAAAATTCTTCTCTTTAACATACAGATGTCATCCTCTGAGCTCTGTGTTTACATCTGTTCACAGAATTACTGAAGAAATTAAGTAGCCTGCCACTTATGGATCATGTATTCACTTTCTCTAATTGAAGACTTGTGGTTTTCTAATGAGACTACTGGTTTAAATTGGTAAATGTCTCCATGTCTAAGCAGACTTCTTATGCCACATATAAGCACTCCCCACCCCTCAAAATTAAAGAGCTAGCCAATATTTACTTGCATATTTCTGAAATACTGCCTACAGAAAGGCTATGATCCAGGCTGAAACAGCTGCTGAGAGCTGGATGTGCAGGAACCCAACACATGGGTGTACATGCACTTGCACTACAGCAAACGCACATTCAGGTAGAATCACATCCTCAATGAAAAAAGAAAAACTCACGTGTGGGATAGGGAACCTCAACTGGGCAATGCTCATGTTCTTCTTCAAAGGCACCGTGATCCTGTTTGGCAGAACTAGCCGTGCAGCAATGTAATCTTGAATCAGCGAGTCAGACATTACACTGCAGGACAGAGGAAAAAGGAAAACAAACAAATCTCTACAACCAATCACCAGCCCAATCAGAAAGAAAAAATAAGGCACAGAACCAAACAAAAGTTGAGATTCACGTTCCTGATATATTTTGCATTAAGAAGGGAAATCACATTTCCAGGTATTTCAGGTAACAGGACGGACCTTCATTACACTGGAGATTGTCTGAACTGAGGGTGCTGTCTATTTTGGACTCTAGGGAACCTTCCAGTCTAATCTAACACTTATTCCTTTCCAGCTTTTCAGTTTAAAATCTTTTATTTGGAATTCCCACGTTTGTATGGCAGGGACAACTGATTCAACCTGCTTCTTCTGAGCAAGGAGTACACAGCTATCACAGACCTTCTGTACCCTCTGACTTGAACCTACTCCTACAACTCAGAAGCAGCAGAAGAAGTAAGAGGGAAATGTGGCTGCACCAAACATCTGGAAGTCTTTTGCTCCCTTGATAAATCTAGTGCTTGTAAGGCAACTTCTCAGGGGAGGACCATGCAATGAAATTGTCACAGTTCATAGAAGGAGCTGGATTCATAGAGAAGAAATGGCCTCTCCCACTCCCAGTGCACAACCAGAAGCCTGAAAGCTCCTGGCGAGAGCATAGGAGCTCCTGACAAAATCCTCCCTGTGGCAAGGTGACAAACTGTCCCTTCTCTTGAGTCTAAAGGTACAGCACCAAACTGCACACAGCTGTGTGCAGCATCTTTGGTCTCTTAAGCAGGAGAATAAAGAAAGGGAGAGCTCTTACTCAACCTCACAGCAGGCATGATTTGCTCATAGCTTTCATGTGCTATGTTGATGAGCGAGCAAGGTTTTCTGTGTTCAAATCCCTGTGAGAGAACCAGAGAGTGAAGATCTAGGACACCAAATTTGTATTTAATTATATGAGAGGTTGTAGGCAGGAACACCTACATACTTCTTCTCTGGGAGGATTAAGGAAAGTTGCATTAGAAAAGAGCAGATTAATTCCTCTGATAAAAACTGGAGCTCTCAGGGCAAACTTCAGGGCAAAAAGCCACTCTGGACTCAAATTAAGAAAAAAGTCCTTCCTCTCACTCAACATCAAAAGTCTTCAGAGATCCTTTATTGCATCAACTGGCACCTAAAGCAATCAGTCACTTCCTGTGCTGAGTATAAGTCTGCAAAGCATGTGGTGGAAGAAAGCAGAACATTACTGCCTGCATTCGCTTTTACAGAGAAAAAGGCAGTGGCTGATTAACCACTGTGTATTTTGTTCCTGACAACAGAGTTTTCTCCTTACACTGAAAAAAACAAGGAAAAAGCAGATCTCCAATCTGGTGGAGCAGATTAAAGCTTACAGTATTGAAAACTGATAAGATTTACACCCTTGCTGTGCAAGCCTTATTTACAAGGTCAAAGAGGCCCCAAGAGGCACTGGGGAACAGTTGGGTTTCTTGAAGTACAAGAATATTTCTCCTTTGAATATGCTGCAGTTTTCACTATCACGGACTAGATTTCAGTTTGTCAGAGGGCTGCAGCCCTGTGACACCTGAACTTTTTCCACTGTATGGTAACCAAACATAAGCACAGATAACCAATACCCAGATCTGCTCAACTATCTTTATAAGCAACTGCCACAAAGAAGCAGAAGAGAAAAAGTTTGCTTTTTCCAAAGTACAGTGGCCTACTGTCACTCTAAATCCCAAAGTGAAGTGATTAAATCAATTTTGACATGATGCAAGAGCATCCTACTCAGGGTTTGCCAACCCCACAGCCAGATAGGATGATGGCATATCAGCATAACAACTTCTACATATCGCTCTTGAGAATAACTTCTGGTGATTGCTGGAAAAAGTTTTCCCAGTTCCCAAACCCTTTTCAAAAAGGAATAAAATGAAACAAAACAGACACTCACTTAATTCCTGGGACATCCAGGAGGTTGCTCATTCCTGCCCAGTTGAATTCCAAGTGCTACAACAAAGGCAGAGAAATGATACAGGACCATTAAAAGTTATTTCAGGACAAATGCTGACTTTAAAGGAGAAGCAAATGCTTCTAAAACAGAGCTGACTGTTTAAAAAAGACCGTACCTGCACTAGTAAATGACTGTATTTATACATTAAAATCAACAGCTGATAGCAATTCCCTCACCTGTCCTACCTGAAATTAAGGGATCACTGGGGCTTATCCTGCAAGCAAGGAGAACACAGCAGTCAGCCCTTGGCAGTGGCCATTGGCAGATGCCCCAAGGTCATGCATAGTAAATCCGGCAGCTCTCCCTAGACTTTGAAGTTGTTTCCTCACTCTTTCACTTGGAGGTTGGCCTGTGCTCTCAGGCAGGGGGATTTACAAACACAGATTTCAGGAATCTCTTGTTTATTGTATGAAGAGAAATTAAGTTTTTCATGAATGAAAACAATGCTACTACACATAAAATTCATGACTGGAATGATTTAAAATACATCTAAAAGCCTATGAAATGGCTCCTGTGCTGTTACCATTGTAAATTCCTCCCCTTCTCAGACGGAAGCAAACAACTCTTCAGGCATTACTGCAAGAGAGTGAGACAAACACATTTCCTTCCCCTTGGAATTGAAGATGAGCATTTAGTAATCAGAAGTTTGCTGTTCAAACACCTGCACTGCAAGATATTCAGAGTTATGCAGGCTGGGTTACCAGCCATGGCATTCACTACAGACCATCCATATATTAAAACTGTCCCAGAGCCAAGAAGGCTGCAGAGCACAGTTCCCTTCTGACTCACCGGTTTCTGCATAAAAAACAAGGTCACTGCTCCAATGAAAGGGGCATCAGTGAGAAGAGGTTCCAGTATCACTCGCAAAGTCCCATACAACTGCAAATACAACAGATCAAGGAAAACCCTTTAAAGATATGCTCAGGTACAGTTTCAAAACTCAGTTTTTCAATGAAGTAAATGTATTTTAAAATCCCACTTCAAATAACTTCAAATTACTTAGAATTTAACAGCAATAACCTCCTTTCCCCCCAGACTATTGTTACTGTTACCAGGTGATGTTTTCTAATTTCACAGAGTCTCTCTGCCATCCTGACTGCCATGTAATGCTGTCCTACTGCTTTCAATACTATAAGAACAGGCTGTAGGTCTAATAGAAAACACTCACAACTGCTCCAACAGAACTTTCTCTTTTGAAGTTCTCTACCAACATGCGGCTCCTCCAAACTCCAGTGGCAGAAGCTGGCCCACATGAGCTTGATGCTCTAGCACTGAACCTGTCTAAGACTAAGAAGCTTAAAATAATATTTAGGTGCTCTGCAAGGAAGACATTATTTCCGAAGCCAAAATACAAGGAGATAAAACCATCCATCCCAAGCCAGGAGCAGCACTGCACTCACCTGTACACCTTTCACCCCAAGATTAAATTTCGATATGTCCATGTGAATCTCGCAGTCTCCTACATAACTGAAAGAAAGTTCTCACATTATTCCACAGTTTGCAATAGTTGAGCGAGCAAATTTGGGCTGTACAGAGTAGAAAGGAGCTTGACAATTGCAACATGACACCCCAGGCAGAGAAACTGAAAAGCAACTGAAAAGGTTAAGTTGAGCACATTAAGCAAGGGTAAGATCCTCACAAAAGAAACCCTGCGGTCAGCTAGGATATTGATTGCCTGCAAAATGTCAAAGCGTTTGACATTTGTATTTCAAGGTTACTATCTCATTCTTAAGAATGGCAGTTGGTTGGGGCAGCTTGCTGTTAGCAGGGAAACAACTGGCTCACTGGAAATTCAAAGCCATGGCAATAGCCCTCTTGCTCCGCTGATCCCATAGCACAGTGTGGTGACCCATCTCCTCAGTCATCTTACCATCACCAATGGGTGCTGGATTTTATACTTCACCCTTGCCCACAGCCAAAAAGCCCATCTGAAGGACATATGCATCACTAAAAATAATATGGTTTCCCTGAAGCTGAATTAAAAATCAATGATTTACAATGAGATCTTAGTCATGGAGAACATCAGGCCTTAAATAAAATGAATGCCAAGAATGGCACTTTCACAATTTAGAAATCACCTTAGACTTTAAAGTACAAACATCATCTCACGCTAAAAGCAGTAGCCACTCCCCTGAGGCAGAACCCACTGATTTGTTGATGCCTCTGGCAGAAAACAATTAAGAGCTACCAAGTTCCCTCCCAGTTCTCCGAGAAATAGCTCTTTTTGGGTGCAGACACACAAACATACTGCAGGCAAAGCAGAATGGAAGGTACCAAAGCAAGGTGAGCGTGCATTGCTTGCTCCCCTATGCTTACCTCCAGCCCACAATCAAAGGAAGATTTGTTTTTGCTCTGACCACAGGCAGATGCACAAACAGCGAAGTTACCATTAATTCACACTGCAATTTGCACATAGACAGATTACTTCCATCCCCCCAAAATAAAAATCTTGCCAAGAATGCACGACTTGAATTTGTCTCCATTTCTGCAAACAAAGTTCCTGAATTTTTTTTAAGAGTCATTTTGCAGAATATAGGAAGTTTATAATGCTCAGATTAAATGCCTTTAATGTTAGAGCATTTCTCATTTCTTCAGTGGCCAGCCTCACAGGCCATGTCAAAATTAACACAATCTTCCCTGCAGGCTAGACATGTAATTAAGAAAACTTATTTTAACATGTATTAATCTCTACAATTTTGACATCATCTTACAGTTCATTACACTGGTTGCTAACAGAGCCTTGTCAATATAAAATCTAAATGAGAAGCCAAAACGAGTCCCTTGATTTGCATTAATTAGTCCTAGAGGATTTAATTCAGCTGTTACCAGTGTCCAACACAGCAAACAACACTAGTGGTGTCTCATTTTACAATCCTTATGCCTCTCCACCGTCAAAAACTCTTCCCACCCAGTTCTAGATACCTGCCTTCCCTTGTAACATGTCAATACGTGCAATCTGGTTTTCAAGTCTAGATGTCAAAGCTGCCTTTGCCCCTTTTATCAAAGCCTAAGTCTTTAATCACCCTCAGGTCTGCTTCAAACAGGCACCACTCCCACACTAGGCTGCCCAGTAGGAAGGATGCACTCTACTCATTAGTTCTACTCCTCATTTCCAGTTCAAGTTGCTTATGCTTTCACATGCCCCTCTGCTGTGTAAGCTTGCTGTGCTCTCTGCTCTTCTCCCCTAGACAGAGAATGCCTGAGCTGAGCTGCTGGGCTCCAAGCCTTGATGCTCATATGCACAGAGATGAGCCCCTCTGCTGGCATCCACAGGACCATGCTTTGCCTGCACGTCAGGGGTGGAAAAAGAACTTGTTTCTGTCCTAAATCATATTACTGCACAAGGAAATATGGACAGCACACCTATGCAATGGATGAAGATTGAAGACAAGCTTGTGGAAGCATGCTTATCCATGTCTCACCTGCATCCATCTGGAAAAGCTGGGCCCATAATGTTGAAAATAGAATCGCTGTGGTTGGAAAAGACTTTTAAGATATCTGGTCCAACCATCAACCCATCTTCCCTGTGCCCACTAACCATGTCCCTCAGTGAGATATCTACATGTTTCTTGAACACCTCCAGGGACAGTGATTCCACCACCTTTCTGGGCAGCCCATTCAATGCTAACCACTTCAGTGCCTCTCCTCTTTCAGAGGAGAGATTTTTCCTTATATTCAGCCTGAGATGCAATGGTAATCCCACAGGCTTAAGGCAGGGATGCCACAAGATGTCCCTGCACTGTTACAATTACTGAGTGTGCTGAGATCTCTGGATGCTACCTGACACAAAGGGTTATTTAACACCTGAGCAGGGCAGAGGCCATCCACAACATAACAACACCCGCTATGATGAAGCAGCTCAGCCTTCCCAATTGTGGCCATCCCAATCAGCACTGCAGACAGCGATGAGCCAAACAGCAGATCAAGTTCACGTGGATTCACTAGTGAGGAAACTCCCACAAAATTACACCCATCAAACACCAAGGAGTCATGCTACTAATATGCAGACACGTCAGTTCTGTAATGTTCACTGCAACACAGCAACACTTGTCCGAAACCCAAAAGGGAATTTAGTCTCAGCATTGCAAAGTGCACTACAGCAACACCACAGCAATTACTCCATCCTCCTGAGTTGTTACACCAGGACTCAGCTCTGCGGGCAGATCCAGCCACTTATATCTCACCTTTGCCCTTAGAGGGAAAATGAGAAAGGAAGCAGGGCCAGGTGAGAATAGAGAGCTCTGCTGTTAGCACTGCTCAGAAGGCTTCTCTACATGAAAATGAGGTCACTGATGTATAACTTTATCCCCATGCACCCTTCACCTAGAAAATAATTAAGACAAAGTGCTTTCACTTCATCAGTGGGAAGTCATAATTTAATTTTAATTTTAATTATTGAGCTGGGAGCATTGATTAAGAAAAATTGTGATGCCTCCCGTCAAATATTAATTGGGAAGAGAGCAGCAAAAAAGAACCGTCACCAGCAAAACTGGCTGCCTGAACAAATACAAATCCATGAGATAATCTACAGGTGTCTGAGATCACTAATGAGTTGGTCAGACACATTTCCACATCAGTACAGATAACACTCATCTATTTAGATTGTGAGCATCCACGCTGTTCCTGCTTTTGTTGAGGCTTATTTCCAATCTGAGCAGTAGCCACAGCAACATGTGGAAATCCTCATGGAACCCTCTTACACAGTCATCAGCTCTCTGTGAGCAGCCACAGAGACAAGACTGCACAGACACACGTGCCAGGCAGCTGTGGGTATAATCAGCCACCCAAACCTGACTCACCAGCATGCAAGGAGGGGTAGCTCAAGTCCATCTCCTCTAACCAGCTCTTCTCCCAGCACCAGCTGCATTAGCGCAGACACACAAAGCTATTCACATACCTAAGAGAGACTGTTCTGCAATGGGAGTTTGCCTCACTCCGGAAAAGTAGAGGTTGCCCCTTTCTTTGATTAAGGAAAGGTGAAAAAAAAAGAAGAGAAGAAAAAAGAAAAACACACCCCAAACTTGTTCCTTTAGCAACCTGGAAAAAAGCAGGTAAATAACCATCACTGCCCATGGATTTGCTTCTTACCATTCCTGCAAGTGATGCACTATCTCCTGCAGCAACTGGACAATGCATAGTACCTTGGTCACTTGCAGAAGCTGAAGTCAGAATATTAACATAGGAGAAACAAGGTTCTCAGAACAGCCTAGGAGAAGAGTTCCCCATCAGAGAGACAAGGCATGCTGAAGGCTCTTGTGTGAATACACGAAATACCTGGGTTATCAGATGACAGTTCAAGCTAAATTACTGTCACAAGGAGGAACAGAAGCGAGAGGCCAGTCTGGAGATGCTGATGGGTCTGCCAAAAGGACAGGAATGAGGAGGTGGGGGAATCCCTCTGTAACTCATTGTTAAGGCAGTGAAAATGAGTATGTGGGAGAAGCAGCCTGGAGAAGTAGTTTAATAGAGAACAGTATCTACCTCCCACAGAGCCTTCAAGGCATCAAAACCCTCGACCTCTGTGTGGAAAGCATGATTGATTTGCCACAGGCCCTAAAACTGGTCTGGCTGTTACAAAGAGCACTTTGCAGACTGTGCTGAAGTACAACATGGCTAAAAATGAAATACTTTGTCTTGCAGGGAGAGAGAGTGCCCTGCCAAGGATGGGGATGCTACCATGCCACTGCCTGCTCTGTGCTGCTGCCAAGACAATCTGCAGTTTTACACTGCTTTTTCCTGGTACTACCATGAAGAAAAGCCATTTATATTGGGTGGCCCAATCACCCACCACAGAACCACAGCAGCATTCAAGTGGTAATTCCCCCACTCATTCCATTCTCCAGGCAAAACCAGAGGAGGGTTTAGTTCTGCTCAATGTTAATGAAACACACAAGCTCATTCAAATCAGCCTGGAAGGAATCAACAGATGTTTTATCTAATTTTTTTGTTGCTGTTAATAGAGTTAGAGACAGTTTTCTACTAAAGAACAGTTTTAATTTTAAAAAGAAAAAAAACAAAACACACTGGCTGGCACATGCACATAGTGATTAAAACGAGAGGACTAATTTAGGGGAAAGAATGAAAAAATAAATAGTGCAAGTAGTTCCGCAAGAACTGGAGAGGTTGGATTGAAGAGAAACTACATGGGTGCAACTGACAGAAAAGCAGTTCCAAGACTCAGATTCTTTCTGTTGTGATGGAGAAAACAAGGGACACAACTCCATGTTCATGACAGCAATGGTAGGCCAGCACAGGTAACACCTGTATCTGTGCAGGTGATAGCATGCTCTGACTTAAAGGCTAACGCACAGCATCTCACTTCTGCAAATAACATCCAACTGGGAACTGATTCACTCATATCACTCTAGGCTGATATCAGGCAAGCACCTCCACGCTGATGCTAGAGAACCATGTGTTCAGTCTAGCACGACAAACCACACACATTTTGCTGGATAGACAGTGAATTAAGGCATAATCAATGATGCAATGTTACCATATCTGCAGGTCTAGGATAACTTGTCTTCTGTCAATTTCTTTGGTGTAGACTTTTACTCCGTTGATTCTAGGGCACTAAAACAAAGACAGACGAGATATGATATAGTTATTATCTATTACTTGAAGTCCAAGTGAAGAGTCCTACCCAGTTCACTCAGTTCAACTACAGTAGTGTTCAATAAAGACTTTGAAGAGCTGCATGTAAAGCATGAGTAAGGCGCACAAGTTTTTGTCTTAAAGACCTGATGTGAACAGCCCTCAGATATAGGGCTGGTTGTGAGCGGTTCACATGCTACAAGTCTTAGGAAGCACTGAAACTTCCTTCTATAAGAAATGCAGACATGCCTCTTTTTGCTATTTCCAGATGCATGACATTGACAGTGACAAGAGATGTATGTGTCTCCTCTATCATCTTTCTTTCACTGTGAAGATGCTCAAGTCAACGTGAGGAAGGACAAAGGAGGCAGCAGCATCGTAACAGTGCCACTTATTAAATGCACAGAGCTGTTAAAGAGCTGAACCTCAGAGTCCCAAACAAATGTTCTCCCCTTTTCATCTGAATTTTTCACAGAAACCAAAGGACAAGTGTTGCAAAGCATTCACACTACCTTCTCACCAAACTGGATCTTGGTAAAGGTGCATGTTTTCAGATGTACACTCTTTGCTCTAATTTTTGGTTCCACAACTTCTTTAAATGTTTTTTCCATGATTGTCCCAAAGTATGGCCAAGCCTGTTCAAGGACCTACGGAACAGCAAAAGCAAAACATCTTATATAAAGTGTCATTCGTACATCTTTAGTCGAGAAATAGATGCAGATTACTGAACATGTGACAACTAATGCATGCCTGCCCTTAACAAATAGGAAGTGCACATTTGTGCTCTTAAGCCACTTCTTATGGAAAGATCCATCCCAGCTCTTCAGAAAAAGAAACTGCTTTAGGAAGTGAATACTGAGTTTTCAACCCTATGGAGTCTGTTGACTGCTTCTAATCACATTGGCTGAGCCAGCAAAGCCCAGGGTTAAAGTTTCTAAAGCACAGCAGTCTCTAATTACTGGGAAGTGTCACAAAGTTCCCTGGAGGTTTATTTGAAGAGGAGAGAGTTGAGCTTTTACTTCAAAAGAAAGTTTCTCAAACAAAAACAAGATAGTTACTAAGGTGTAAGTTGAGCTGTTTTGCTTTGTTTTAGAGCCCAGTTCCAGGGAGAGCCAGATTCTAACTGCTGATGGGAGGACCTGCTCTGAGAGCATCACTGGCAAAAAGAAATACATACTACTGCTTTTGCTAAAATAATAGTACAGCCACAAACACATATGTGCATGTGTACACATGTGCACATGGACTTTTGGTTTTAAAATCTCAGAATGAAGCTGTGTGGTCAAATTCATCACATCTGCATCAGCCAGGTGCACACATCTGGCTCTCACCAAGACTTGTAACAACTCTAGAAGCTCTAAAACTTAAATACAGACGCTGCTGTGACTGAACCTTGTTGTAGTGACTTACTAATCTTCTTAGGCTTAGAGTTTGTGCTGGGATTCAGCTCAGAGCACACAGCCTCACAGACTGGAGTTCAGAGCTCCTCACCTTGTTCAACCACTCCACTCGCTCAACATCAGGGAAATGGACCTGGAGGCAGAGAAAAACAAAGTGAATGCCACATGCAATCTGTTTTGGTATACTGTGTCACATGCCAAAGATACCACAGAGTGTGGTAATCTGAGATCCCTCTGCTCTCACACACAACTTTTACCATTTATTGCTTCTATACAGTAGTAGAAAAACTACTAAATTGTAAAAGGCAAAAGCAGACAGGTGTGTTGATGCACCAGTATGCCTCTGGGCATGTTTATGTGATTAAAGCAAGTGTCATATCCTGTTCCTCATGAAGCAGCATTGGATTTCTCACCCCTCTTGGTCATGCAATGGGAAGCCACAAGAAGCTGCTTCCCTTCAAGATGATGAGATGTGAGGGCTCTGTTTCCTGCACGGACTCACCCTGATCAGGACACTGTGCTTTGGAAAACAAGAACCTGTCTAGAAAATTCAACTGATGTCCAATTTGAAAACATGAGCAAAGGTCCACAACTGCCTTACTACTCATCCTTCTGGGTGTAGTATTTTCTGCCAGTGCTGCAGGCTGATGGGTATTTCAGAAGGGAAGGACAGGATGGCAGCTTCTCAGCTCTGCAGACAGACTCCAACAGAAAGGGACTCCTTACACTGTCATCTAGCCTGATGGGCAGGACTACATGTTACCTCCACATACAAGAGCTGTAAGCTACACTCTTCAGTCAAGGGCTTTTTGTATAATTCAGCAGCAGGGACGTTTGGATGAAACAGAAGATATTTGCAGATAATGACAGGACAAGGAGAAATAGTTTTAAACTAACGGAGGCCAGATGTAGCTTTAGATATTAGGAGGAAATTTTTCACTCAGGGTGATGAGGCACAGCTGCCCAAAGGAGCTGTGGGTGCCCCATCCCTGAAGATGATCAAGGCCAGGTTGGATGGGGCCTTGTACAGCCTGAGCTGCTGGGTGGCAACCAGCCCATGGCAGGGAGTTGGCACTGGGTGGGCTCTACAGTCCCCTCCAACCCAACCATTCTGTGATTCTATGATAGGATTTTATGAACTGACAGTAGTTTGCCTTTTTTTCTAGCCTGATGTGTGATTTCAGAACCTGTTTCTCTTGCTCAAATAATGTACCAAATGATCTCCAATTATTCTGTTTAAAAATCAAAGTGATATTGGCATATTGTTTACAAGCAACTTCCTTTGATGCTCTGAACAGCAACTTTTCCATTAAACAAGATGCGAGCTCACTGAAATGTCAGCCTACCCAGCTTTATTTGCATGATAAAGTGAGGATATTGCACCAGAAGGGACAATCAATACTGATAAAACGCAGCTGACATTTCACAAGAAGGAGGGTGATGTGAATCCAGGGACCTACACTTCACCTGCCAGCCCTCCATCTCCCACCAGATGACCCTGTGCCAGCATACACAAATACAGGGTGGCCCAAAGGCAGCTGGTCCCCAACTCCAATGCACTGATAAGCACCACAGTGTTCTGCAGCATCTGCAGGACTGTCCTGGATCAGTCACGGGCAGAGCAAAGCAGAGATGGAAGTGGTGTGGCAAGCTGTCCTTCAAACAGCCTTCCAGACAGAAGAGGGGATGTGACCCAAAAGAAAGAATAGACCAGGACTCAGACACCACTTAGGCCTCCAGATCTCAGTAAGGAAGTCACAGCCCACCTGTGAGACCCATACCATTAAATGGAGTACAATACGAACCCCTACACTTTGCTAGAATTATTCACTGGAGCCAGAGCTACCAGAGGTGCAGCTGTAAAAAGTATCCAAGAAGTGAGGCCAGTGGCCATTAGGCTGGAGCAGTACCCAGGAGCACCAACCATGAGATGGATGTTCCAGCCGGACTCACCTTAAAATAAAGCAAAACAAAAGTAACTGAGCTATAGACATCTAAACTGAACAGCCCAGGGCAAACCCCAAACAGCAGCCACCACGAGTCACCTGTGTCATACCTGTGTCACACCCCAGATCACTGCAGCAGGACTGATGATCTTTAAGGTCCCTTCCAGCCTAGGCTATTCTATGGTTCTATGATCAGGGTCGTGTTCCCAAGCTTGCCATGGTACAGCATGGATAAGAGAAGCAAAAAGTACTTCTTGCCAAGCCCAGAACCAGCCACCAAGAGCTGCCAAGTTCACATGGTCCCAAAATAAACCTTACTCCATAACCTTGGGTAAGCATGCTATCAAAAATCAGTTTTCCTCACCTACAAAAGCAGGCATGCTACTTGCCAATATTTCAGGAATGCTTCAAAAATTACTTAGCGTTTGAAAAGAACTTTGAAGATCAAAAATAGGAGGTGAGGGCCGATTACCAGCAAGTAAGAGAAGTGTAGGTTTCTGCAAGGCTCCACCTTGCCCTGGAGCAGGCCACACCAACCATCACAGCAATAGCAAAACTCAGGTGAGACACAACAGCACCATTCAAATGCAACACAGGAATGTATCCAAAGGGGTTGCTTGTCTTTTGTTGTTTCCTTTGTTTGTTTGTTTTTAAGGAGATGGGTTTCTCAGCTTCCAGTGCAGGGGTGAAGAAAGAACGCCTAAAGAAGCCTTTTGCACGAGGAAGGAATTGGCAGACCATGCTTTAGAAAAAGGCTATTCTTTACCTCTAATATCAACAACTTCTCACGCAAGCGGTTTGACATCTCGATGTACTGGGACCAGACTGCTGAACACAAGCCAATTTCCAACCTGATTTCCTGTGGAAGCACAGTCTGCCCACGTAAGTGTATAGCACAGGAATGCTTCCACTCCAAACTCACCATCTGCTTTCAGCCAAGGTACTGGTTTTTGGAAAATAACCCTGCAAATTCCCTGGAACAGATGGTTGAGTAGATGAGGGAAACCCTCCTCATGTCTCCTCCAAAGGGAAGGCTGTGATACAAACACATCTCCTAAAAACTGATCCCAATGCTGCACAGAGCTTGAGCCTGCACTGCTCTTGCAAAGTACAGTTTTTAACTAAGTGGAATCATAGAGTCACAGAGCCGTTTGAGTTGAAGGGACCTTTAAAGGCCATCTGGTCCAAATCCCCTGCAATAAGCAGGGACACCTACAGCTCCATCAGGTGCTCAGAACACCGTCCAGCCTGGCCTTGGGCATCTCCAGGCATCCACCACCTCTCTGGAATCAGTCTTAACTCCTCCCCGAATGGATCATCCTCACTGTACAATGGGGCACCCAAGAGGACAGCTATTTACCCATCCCCTGTCCCCTAAGATGCTGCCAACGTTCCACACCAGCAGTGTCTTTTCTAAGATTATGCTGCAGCTCCAATTCGCGCTCCCACCTGAGTTTTATTCCAGCTCCCACCTCTGCACGTCAGGAGAGAAGAACAGATGGGACATTTTTAGAGCTGTTACAATTGAATGCTTTAGGGCAAAATGAAAGATTAAAAAAAAAAAAAGATGACACCACAGACAATGAGCTGAATAGGCAGCAGGTGAGGAACAGCCTTCAGGACTGACACGGGGTGAAAGAAGCAGAAAATCGAACTGAGGGAGGGAACAGAAGGAAAATTGAAAGTGAAATATAAAAAAAGCACCGAGTTTAAGCTCACTATGCAAGCAAACGCCAAACTGAGCAGAACTTATCAACGACGAAAAGCAAAAGGAGGAGATGCGGCAACGCTGATAAATGCCAAAACCAACACACTGCGCTCTGCTGCTCCGGAGGGCTTTAAGCACTGTGGATGCGAACCAGCAGAGCTTTCATGCCAGACGGGCTCCTGCGGCTGGTGGGAAACAGCCCCTTCTGGGAGCGGGAGGAACTCAGCTGGGAGCTCCATCCCACGGGCGCGCAGCTGCCGGCTGCAGGAAGGCGCACCGAGGGCTGCAGGCTGCGCAAAGCTCCTCGCTGACCATCAGTGCTTTCACGGAGCGCTCCGACAGATGCAGCTCTTTCATACTCTCTCCCTGTTTCCCTACTAGTCCCCGGCACGTTTATGAACGCTGAGCAAATGGCTAAGAGACACGGTCGATCCTTTTCCTATTAGGCAGCAGGGCACCGAGCAGCCGGCCAGCGGTACTGCACGGAAAGCACTGTCAGGCTGTCACACTCACTCGCGTTAAAGCCTAGAGGACGGCCAACAACGAGGAACAAGCCAGGGGCTGCTTCTCCGCACCACCAAGAAAGGCAGAGTGTGTTGTGCTCGTAGATATACTTATTACTTCTTTCCAAACGGCAGGAGAGAGAAAGGAAAGGTAGAAAACTAAAGCATCTAAAGCATCTCCTAATCTACAACAGCCGGAACAGCGCATCTTTGGAGGAAGATTTCTCCGGGATACTACACGAGCGATCGCACAACTTCCAGCTCAGCTCTCCCTTTTCCCAGCTCGGGACTCGGAACCGCGCGACCGTCCCCGCCGCCCGCCCCACTCACCCATGCCGGCAGGTGCCGGGAGGCCAGGCCCCGCCGCACCGCTTCCCGCTCGTCCTCCAGCAGCACCGAGGCGGCCGCCAGCCGCTCGCGCTTCCCCCGCCGGTTGCGCGCCCAACCCAGCGCCAGCGCCAGCCCTAGCAGCAGCCAGCTGCCGCTCAGCCCCAGGTACCCCGCCAGGTACACGGGGCCGAGCCACAGCAGCGCCCAACCCGCGGACGAGAGCAGCGCCCGCTGCGGGGCGGCTGGGCGGGAGGCGGCGGGATCCATGGCTGAGCCCCGGCTCCGCGGGGTCCCTCGGCCGAGTGCGGAGATCCCGCGGCGAAGCGGCGGCTGCCCCCGCCCGGCGGGAGGCGCGTCCCGTGCCGCCTGCTGCCCGCCCGGCCCCTGCGCTGTGCCGCGGGGAGCGCCGCGTTGTGCCGCCCCCTGCCGGGCGCCCCGCGCAGCTGCCCCGAGCCGTTACCGCCGACCTCTTCTCCCACATTGTCGTAACCGCGAGCCGCCGCTGGATGCTCCGTGCGGGAGGCAGCCGTGCTGCGGAGCAACCTGTTGGTTCTGACCTGTTGGTTCTGATGCTGGCAAGGGTCAGAACGCTCCGTGCTCCCTCTCTTTTCGTTCTGATGGAGATGCCGTCAGGGATGTCGCATTTTTAAACACTGAGAATTACGCGTTAGGGAATGTGGTGTCGTTTGGGAACCATCCATCAGCTTTGCACATGCTTTTACTTTCAGGAATAGCGATGCTGTATATTTCTGCACAGGCTCCAGGAGACATTGTAACTGTACAATTCCACATTGTGTTTTCCACTGCTGTTTTTCCCGTCAGGCAGAGGCTCCTCTTTGTTCAGCAGATGAGCCGAGAACATCAGTGCGTGGTGCCAGCTTTTATTGTGGCTCCTTTTTCACAGCGGCTGCACAAGGCAACAAATGAGGAGCCAGACAGAAACCTTCGAGAAAAGGAAGCTAACCGTGACTGGGGAGAACGAGGTTCAGTCCCCATAGGATTTGTTAATTGTGGGTCAGTTAAAAATCAAGCAGTACTGCAAGCGATCCTCGTTTGTATGTTACTCATTGCACATGGCTGATCTCTGATGGAAATCAGTTCAGGCAGCTGAAAAAAATCGGGCTTCAAATGCCTCACATTTGACAAACTGACGTGTGACATCTGCTGTTGCCAGGTACTTTCAGATACAGCCCCCTCACTGCATGAGGGGGGACATGTTCCTCCTGGGATGCTGCAAAGACAAATCAGAATCAACAAGTACTCTGTGCAGCAGGCAGCAAAGCCTTGCAACTTGGAGAGGCAGCTTCAAAATGGAAGCTGGAAATATTCAGCCCAAACTCAGCTACAAACAGTTAAGATGTACCTGAACGTGGCATCTTTATGAGTATGAAAAACATATTGGCCAATTTCATAAATTATGGTGTCTTTTTTTTCTTAGTCTTCACCCAGTTGATAAAAAAAAAAAAAAAAAAAAAAAAAAAAAAAAAAAAAACTGTGCTCAAATTAAAGCATAATAAGAGAACTCTCTGTACAAATGAAAAGAGCATTTCCAGTCCTGCAACACAGCCAGCAGCTGCTGCTTTGTGAAGAAGATGCTTCCATGAAAGCAGAACTCTGTGTCCTACCGGTTAAAGAATAACAGTTTCCTTCTGTTTTCTTAGGGAAATATTGAATCACCATTCAAGAGGCCAAGACCTATCCATTTTCTATTGGAGAAAGTACGACCCAGACTGTGAGCGGATTGCTTTCACACACCGCATTTTGGAGCCACTTAAAGGTGGTCTCATTCTCAATCACAAGGAAATTTCACAATGTATCTCTCAGTGTTTGCAGGACAGTTAGTAAGATAACGACCCAAAGCTTTGCTCTGGCACGTGTGGCTTCACCTCTGATATAACTTGACTATCAGCACTGTAGTGCATTAGAGCTGTGATGAAAGCATATGTGGTAGCAGAACATGACACAGATTTTACAGAAACTGCAAGCCTTTCAAAGTGCATTAGTAGTGAACTTGCTGCCTCTTCAGCTGGCCACTGTAACTAAGGCAACCTGCTCTAAAAGTGGGGAGTTATGAAAAACCACTGCCAACGCCTTTTCTAAAAGAATGAACTATGGAGATCACGTAAAGGAATTAATCCAAAACATCCATGTACAGCAATGCAAGATCAAAGGGTTTAGTGAAGATGACTTTCTAACTTTCTTGTATCTACAGGGCTTGTGACCAATTCCCACATTAATGCTAACAGTAGAGGTGAGCTGTCTTTTCTCTATGCACCCACAGCAAAATAGAAAGCACTTATTTAAGGATAAAAGCTTATCCCCTGCATTAACAGAATTACTTCTTTATCAAGACCCGATTAAAGCATTTGTCCTCTTTGGCACTCCATGCCATATGACAAGGAGTTATTGCTCAGTTTCCTCTGGGTTCACGCTCTGCATCCACGCACAGTCCACCCTGTTGAGCAAAACCAACATCCCAGAGCAGAGGGCAAACCCCTTATATCTACTCTTAGCGGGCGTTCTGCTGAGCTTGGAGAGCATTTCCCCAACAGCTCTGCTTGGGAATACGTGCAAAATAGGATCACCTGATGCTGACTTTTAAAGTCTGCTTCATTATGCTTTCACCCTCATGCTGTGCTTTGTATCTTGCTGGTTCACAGCTTCCATCTCTGCTTTTGTATAACAGAGAAGCACTGAACAGCTGGTACTTTTTGCAATGTAGTGAAATAAGTAAGAGCAATTTAGATCACACAGCCACTTGCTCTTGCTACAGAAGGGCCACTAATATGAGGGCAGAGCAGAGGGGTGCAGAACAAGCACCTGGAGGTAAAAAGGTGGTGTGGCAAAGTGTTCTTGTCCTTCCTACCAGCAAATCCCACATTGCTCTGACATTGAAGAGTCACAGCAGATATCTAGGTTAGCAGAATTTGGAGAAAAGCTATGCCTTTTATACACAAACTATGTATGTACATATACATACTGCATATATATATATATACATACATACTATATATATACACATACGTATATAAACTGCACAGATGAGAAAGTGAAATAATAGAAAGCACAGTCTGTGACAGCAGTGGTAGGAGAGAAAAAATAAACTTCCATTAAAGAGAAGACAGCATTTCCCAGTGTTTCCAGAGATGGACTTCGAGCTGGAGCTGTCACTTTGCTGGCTCTGGGGACAAGACACACCATTTTCCTGGCTCTAGGAACGACTCTGATCTACCCTCGACATCAGCGCACCGCTTTCTGCTACTGTGGAGCCCACACTGACCCGTAAGCAGCTGCTGCCACCTGCTGAACACAACAGCTTTTACTTCAGGAAGAAAGGCTACGGAGAACAGCGCAGGAGCTGTCTGAGAGCAGTTAGATCTGTCTGCCCACGACAGACCCGCGGATGTTGTCACAAAGCAGCTCTGCATCCCATCATTAACATTAGTGCACGATTTGGAAGATAATTTACAGTCTGGATTGAATAAAAATAATTTATCAAATTAAAAGTCTGTACTTAGAAACTTGACTGTATTTCACAAGCAGCATCAGCAGAGATCTGAAATAAGCCAGAGGAGCTTCAGTTTACTTTCAGACATCTTTGCAGAGTACCATTTTATTAGTGTAGAAGACATTTTAAACTCAGAACCTCAGCCTGTTAAACATTCTCTCTTCTAAATTTCTCCACTATCATGGATTTATTGTTGGTTTTTTTTTTTTTCCTCCTGTTTGAACAACTGTATTTGCAATAGGATAGGTAGAGGCTACTGACACACATTAGGCTGTGAAAACTGTCTTTCAAGTGCATGATGAAGTTACTGAACAACCCTATTAATAATTTATAGCTTAGTCTGCAATCTGTAGAACTTACATTTTGCTGTATTTCGAGTGCTTAAAAGCCTTGACTGAGCTCACAGAAACCTCTTCTTTGAGGAATTAGAGTGCTCAACCCTTGTGAAACATAATAAAAGTGTCAAGCAGTGAGGAAGCTAATTTATGAGTCACAGAGCTGCTGCCCTAGTTGGTACCTCTCCATCAGAGGTGAAAGCAGGAAGGAGAAACTTTCTTGTTAAGTTTCATAGAGCTGTTTCTTCTTTAGCATCTGCAGTGTCACAAACCAAAGGGGTTTGCTGATAATCTATACCTGCTTTAACCAATAACACATTGAAGCTATTTTCTTTGCACCCAAACTTTTAAAAAGTAATAGATTTTTCATCCAGAAGGAAAGGAGGGAGGTAAACACCGACCCTTTCTGCTCCTTTCTTTCTGCTGCAAGGCTGCCATAACTGCACCTTCAGTAAAGTCCATCTGAAGTGCAGATTTACCCGAGCGCTCTTCATGTCTTCAGTGTGCATTTGACAGCGTGGGACACAGATCACACTGGGGCATGCAGAGTTAACAGTAGCAGGAATACATGTGAGACTGTGAGGAACGCCATTTACATTTCTGCCTGCTCAGAAATCCCTTCATCATAATGGATCCTGACATGGGAACATCTGCCTGTTGTGTCCCACTTGGACAGTGGCTGCCAAAGATGGCACAGCTTGCAGCAGCACAGCCAGGCTGGCACAGCGTTGAGAAATCAGTTGTATAGAAGCCACATTCCTAGAGCTGAGTTATTGCCAAGGAGCAATGACAGCACATTGCCTCCCAGCTTCTGCTGGGTTTCTACGTTGCATGTTTAGCCTTTTCTGTGAGAAAGACAAATGTGCACAGCCCGACTGACTCCCTCTGAAGAGTTCCTACCACCTGTTTGCGGGGTGTGCTTTCAAGAAAGAGATGAAGGGTTGGATTCTGGAAAGTGCTGCCTTTAAAGCTCCAGAAAGTTCAATGAAAACCTTGTTCATACCAGATTCAGTGCTGAATCTAATAGTTAAGAGCCTTGAAAACCTCCCTGAGCAGGCAGCTCTACTCAGTGCTACAGTTTTGGACTCAAAGACATGCACTGGATGAGTTTTCAGATGAATTTTCTTAGCTTGCCATGAGTACATGCAGCACACAAACAAACACAAGACTTAAAGGAATTGCATAGTACTATGGAAGTAGCTTAATATGAGCTTAATACAAAATGAAAGTTTTTTCTATCAACCAAATCTTTTGTAAGTGGTAAAAGTGTGTAAGTGAAGGGCAAGGTGATATACTGAGATCAGTGCTTGAAGTATGCCATTATGCATATGAAGATAAGTGCACAGAAAATCAAATAAATACTCAGCACTGAGGGGCAGAGTAAGTGACTGCAAACAGATTATCCGCTGTTTTGAATTATTTTG